GGCCTTTGCCAATTGTTGCGATCGGCTCTTGTGGCCATTTGACTTTTTTGGACTTGATCAACTTTCTGATCAAATCTGATTGGACGTTCGACTCTTGAGGCATTCACCAGTTTTTGCGATCGGCTCTCGTGGCCATTTTTTTTTAATTGGGTCTCGTGAAGGTCCGAACCTAGTGAATATTTAGAGAAAGAGATGCGGGGGAAGAGACCCTTTATAATGGGCCACCGCAGTCAAAATGGGTCTCTCCCTTAATAATAGGTCGCCTTTTGCTATTGGGCCTCTATTATTAAGGGGTTTGACCCGCTGATATTAAAGTTAAGTGATTGCGCTTTAATAATAGAGACAAAATTTCCTTTTTAGTCAATGTAGGATATTGATTTGAAAGGAAATAATTTCATTATTCAAGAAAATACGTATTAAAAGGAGCGGGGGAGGCTCTGAATTACGGATTTCTTGATAGTGGGCTATGACTATCCATGGACCTCATAATTAAGAGCTCCCACCCGCTGATTTTATACCCAATAGGTTGTTATTTACAAACAAAGATAATTTTTCCTTTTTAGTCAATGTGGGACCCTAGTTTAAAAAGGAAACATCTTTATTAAAAATGAGTGGGGAGTGTGTGGAGACCTCTGATAATGGGGCATTTGATAGTTGGTTTACTATCAATGGGTTCCCATTATCAAGAGATCCCACTCACTGATTTGTAAGTGAACAATATATGTTATAAGAATAATATAGAGGTTTATTTTTATAAAATAGTTTTGTCTTTTGGAAACAAAACAAAAGTGTGAAAGGGAGACCCCTGATAGTGGGTCCCTTTGTGGGTTGCCTACTATCTGGGTCCTCCTTCACTGTTCATAAGTCATATTATTTTTATTTAAATCATAGCTAGGAGTCTTATTTTCAGTCGATGTGGGACTTTCGAAGAAAAGACAAAAGATAACTTTATATATTTGCCAAAATAAAGTACTGGAAAACATTATATGACTACTTTATTAAAAATACCTTTTCAAATTTATCATATTCCTTAGTTTGGCCATTTCAGTGCCATCCAGGTGTTGAAATCTGTATACTCCTTTCCCAATCACATTTGAGATCCAGTACGGACCTTTCCAATTGGGTTCCAATTGTCGACATACTTTTCTGACTTCAAAAGCACCAGGTCTCTTGGGTTGAAGCCTCTATGTTTGACCCTTTTATTATAGTTATTTGCTAGCTTCTGTTGGTACGCAGCTAGCCGAATGGTTGCTGCTTCTCTTTTCTCCTCTAATAGATCGGATTGTGCTCTAGTAATTGATCATTTGACCCCTGTTTCCAAGCTAAACTTCGGATGGTTGGTGCTACCACTTCAGTTAAGATTATATCTTTAGTTGCATAAGCTAGAGAGAAGGGAGTTTCACCGGTGGGGCGTCTCGGAGTGGTCCTGTATGCCCATAGGACATTTGGCAATTCATCCAGCCATATTCTTTTCTTGTTGTTGAGTTTCTTTTTTATACAAGCAAAAATTCTCCTGTTAGTTATTTCTGCTTACCCATTGCTCTGTGGATAGTATATAGTTAACATTTTTTTTATTGATCCTATATTTGTCAAAAAATGGTTGTGTATGCTGATTATTCAGGTTTGAACCGTTATCCATAATGATTGATCGTGGGATTCCAAACCTGCATATGAGGTTGTTTCGGATAAACTTTCTTACCTGAACGTTAGTTACACTTGCATATGCCTCTGCTTCCACCCATTTGGTGAAATAATCAATTGCTAGTAAGACGTACCTCTTTTGTGAAGCTACTAGAGGTAAAGGCCCCACTACATCCATCCCCTATTGAGCGAAGGGCTATGGGTTACTCATTGTGTACAACTCTTCTGGAGGTTGATGGACGAGGAGGGCATACCTCTAGCATTTATCGCATCTTCTGGAGTACTCCTCTGCTTCTTTTGCCATGTAGGGCCAGAAATATCCCTGAGTCTGGGCTTTGTAAGCTAACGACCTGCCCCTAGAGTGGTTTCCACATTCTCTTTCGTGCAGTTGTTTTAGAACTTCTCTGGATTCTGTGGGAGTCAGGTATCTAAGGTAAGGCCCTGAGAATGAATGTCTGAAGAGTTCTCCATTTATAATTGAATATTTTACAGCCTTTGTTCTCAGCTGCCGAGCCGCTTATTTGGAATTGGGGAGTTCCACTCTTTCCAAATATACGATTGGGTCCATCCAGCTTAGTTCTCTCAGAATGACCAACATTGGTATTCCCTTTGTGACGCTCGGTGTATCCAGAATGTCGATGGGGATAATTCTTATCATTGAGTCATCTGCCGATGAGGCTGTACAGGCTAAGCAATCAACAATTGGATTTTCTTCCCTAGGGGTTTACCAGAATTTTATTGTGTCAAAGCCTTTTGCCAGCTTTTCCACCTCTTCCCTATATGGATCATTCTTTCCTTTCTGGGGGTGTATTCACCTATCACATGTCTAGTAATGAATTGTGAATCACTATAAGCTAGAAGGTGCTTTACCTAAAGCTTTCTGGCTAATTTAAGTCCTGCCAACAGTGCTTCGTATTCTGCTTTGTTATTGGTGGCTGGAAACTTTAGTCGGATTGCTTGCTAGAGTTTGGTCCCTTCGGGAGTTCTGATCTCCAAGCCTGCTCCAGCCCCATTTTGGCTTGAAGAGCCATCCACATATAATTCCCAGCAGGGATTTTCTATGATTGGCTATTCTTTTCCTGGGTCAGTATCTAGGAGGAAATCTACAACCATCTGTCTTTTCTTTGCGGTGCATATTGAATATTGAATATCGAAGGAGCTTAATTTGATTACCCATTTGGTAATTCTACCTGAAATGTCTGTCTTTTTGAGGATTGCCTTGACTGGATGGGTTGTGGGGACTATTATCCGATGAGCCTCAAAATAATGCCGGAACTTTCTCTTTGCCTGGATTAAGGCAAGGATGACTTTCTCTGCCATCGAGTACATGACGGTTTTGCTAGAATATAAGATAGGATGTTGCTTCTTACCTACTTCTCTTACTAGGGCCGAACTGGCTACCGATTGAGATACTACTAGATAAAGGTACAATGGTTCTTCGGCTTCAGGAGCAGACAGAATTAGGGGGTTTGTTATGTACTCTTTAAGTTTATTGAGGGCTTCTCACTGCTCTGCCCCCCAAATGTCTCCCTTTCTTGCCTTGATAGCATCGAAGAATGGTTTGCATTTGTTTGACAATCTGGATATGAAGTGGCTAAAAGTCACAATTCGTCCAGTGAGTACTTGGACATCCTTCATGGTTTGAGGCTCTTTGCTCTGCAACAACTTTGTCAGTTGAGCGAGGCTGGCCTCTATTCCTTTCTTGTTCACAAAATGGACTAGGAACTGGCCCGAGGATACTCCGAATAAACATTTCGCTGGATTTAGTTTCATCTTGTTTTCCCTGAGAGTATTGAATACTTCTTGCAGGTGCTGTAGATGGTTTTCCTTTTCCTTGCTCCTTACAACCATGTCGTCTATGTAAGCTTCGATTGTTCGGCCGATCTACTTTTCGAACATTTTATTGATTAGCCGCTGGTAAGTTGCCCCTGCATTCTTCAGTCCAAAGGGCATTACCTTGTAGCAGTAGGTCTCGTGTTTGGTAATGAAAGAAGTTTTATCTTCATCCGAAGGGTTCATCAAGATTTAGTTGTAACCTGAAAAAGAATCAAGGAAAGTTAGTTTTTCATACCCGATCATAGTGTCCACCATCTGATCGATTTTTGGGAGTGGGAAGCTATCTTTTGGGCAGGATTTGTTTAGGTTGGTGAAGTCGATGCATACCCCTCACTTGTCATTTTTCTTCTGAATAACAACTATGTTTGATAACCATTTGGGGTATTGGACTTCTTGGATGAATCTTGCTTCCAAAAGTAGGTCGACCTCTTCGACAATGATTCTATTCCTTTCTGGGGCAAACCTCCTTTGCTTTTGCTTTACTGGTCAGTAACTCGGGTCCACATTCAAGCTGTGAGATGCTATCTTTGGACTGATTCCTAGCATGTCCCATTGGTTCTAGGTGAAGATGTCGGCATTTTGCCTTAGGACTTTAGTTAACTCTGTTTTTTCTTGTGGCGATTGGAGTGCCCCTATGTACGTTACTTTCTGCTCTTCCCCTGTGACTATCTGCACAACTTCCAAGGGTTCTTCGGTCGGGTGCTCTTCTTCTGGCTCCTTGTTCTCGTCAGGGGAAGAGGAGCTAAGTAATTGTTATTTCAGTAACTACTTTCCCTTATCGGTTGATCGGATGGTTGTATGGTAGCATTCCTTCACCCCATGTAGTCTACCCAAATGTCTATAATCTCTCGCCCGTTGGGGCCAACATACCTTAAGACTTGGTGCAGAGTTGACGGGACTCCTTCTATCTAATGGATCCAGCCTCGACCCATAAGTAAGTTATAGGTTGGGTGGATGTCTAAAATCACGAAATTTTCCTTCAAAGTTCTTTTGACCGCAGTGATTGATACCGTGATTACACCTATGGGCTTCACCCTCCTCCCGTCGAACCTTACAAAGGGGTTTATGGTGGGGCGGACTTGATCCGAAGATAATTTCAGTTGGTCAAATGTCCACTTGGTTATGCACGCGCTTTACTAAACAGTTTGCTACTAGTAGGCTGATCACTAGTGGATCTTCATGTGGGTACTGTACTCTTCTGAGGTCTCCTTTATGGAAGGAAATCTGTGCAGGGCTTAGCTTATATTCGATTGCATTGATCTCTCCAACCCTTCGCAATTTGTGCGCTTATTTGAGTTGAATCTTGTAGGAATTTTTTGGCTGTTCATCCTCTTCCGGACGGCTATGGATCATATTAAGGGTCTGCTCTAGCACGTTAGTTTGTCTCTACTGGCCTATGCTGACTAGATAGTCAGCCAATTCACCTTTAGTAATTAATGCCTCCACCTGTCTTCTTAAACTCCTAGAATCATTGGTTAGTGTCCAAAATCATTATGGAATGCACAGTGCTTACTTTGGTCCCTCTATTCCATCGGCTGTCTGATTGGTGGAGGGATTTGGAAAATGTTCCTACCCTTAGTCTCCTGATACAATCTGGCTAGCGTTACTTTGAAAGGTGTTACCTTCTCAATTATTTGAGACTTTTTCTCTAGGGCTCTTCCTTCAATGCTCGGGGGTTCCCGTTGAGCTCTTGAGGTGCTCAGGTGCTTCTTCGGTCGAATTTTTACCGTGACCAGAGTCGCTCTTTGCTGCATTGTCATTTCGTTCTCTTCTAATCTGATGTAGTTTTGCGCTCTTGAATTCAACTCTGACATGTTAGCCAGAGTCTTTTTCACCAGTGAAGAATGAAAACATGTACCTTGTACCATGGCTATCTTAGTTGTAATACGGCATGCCCGAGGATTCCATATTGAACCGAGTGAGAAAGGTTTGTAGGCCTTCCCCTTTATTTGCTGGATTGTGAAAAGACTGGCAATGGCCTTTTTCTGTTTCTTGTTTCCGCAGTACTGGGCTAAGAATGCAATACACAATGTCTCGAAGTTTGAAATTGATTTGCATGGCCGATTCTTAAACCATTCTAGAGCTACTCCCGTCAGACTGGAAGGAAATGTTTTGCACATGAACAGATCGTTTCGCGCCTCTAGGGTCATCTCCTAAGTATAGTGATCGAGGTGCAAGAGGGGATCTCCAGTTCTGTTGAATTTGATGAACTTCGGCATCGTGAACTTTTTTGGCCTTGCAACCTGTTCTATTTCATCTATAAAGGGAGTTTTGACTATTGAGGAAGTGAACTCTCTCGCCATGTCTTCGGGTGTTTAAGCCTTCAGCCCTTTGATACGTTCATCCATTTCCCTTCGGAATTTTGCGATGAAGTAATTCTCTAGTGATTGCTGATCACCAATTGGGACCCACGTATCTTTTCTTCCCGACTCAGCACGATCTTCTGAGGCTGGGGCCTTGGTGGTTCGTGGTTCTCCCATCGTGGAGTTTCCTGGGACGCGAGATCGGCTTGCTGTTTCGTCGGCATCATTCCGATCAAAAGTGTCGTTTTGGACGTTAAACTATTGTCGTGGAAGCCTCAGCTGTGGAGGATGATTATTGAGTCCAGACGCCAGGGGTGGATCTGTTGGCTCATTCTGGCATTTGGGTCATGGGACGATCGGCAAATTGTTCTACCGAGCATTAACTCGAAGTCCTTCATTTTCTTGGCGCAGAGCATTAATTTGCGCTATGTTGGCTTCGTTAGCTTGTTTCAAGGCATTGATCTGCTTGATACTAGCTTCATTGGCTTGCCGAAAGACGTTAAACTGCATTTGCATCTCTTCACGTATCTTTTAAATGATTTCCTATTGTTGTGCTCGTGCAGCGTCTGATCTTGTCGCCATCCCGGAGCGATGTCGTATGAAAGTGATAGTGAAAAAGCTTTTTGTAAGCGCTTCCCACAGACGGCGCCAAAGTGTAAGTGCAATTTTTCACGCTGAACACTTAAGGAAATAAACCAAAAAAGAAGAAGAAGATTATAGGCAAGAGAACCAAAGTAATGGACAATTTTTGCAGTGAGAATAATATGATTGGAATTTGATCCCTTTCTCTTCTCATTCATGCTTTATTTATATGTGTGTACAGAGATTTACATGGAGTCATTACTGGCGGTTTTTGGATGTGGGCGTTTATGGCCCCTTATATTACCGCCCTCTCTTTTATGATGGGCGTTATGGAATTTTGAGTTTGCCGAGTTTGGGCCATTCCCAGGTCTGCTTCTTGTCAAGTGGAGCTTCCTTCGTCAATAGGGCCGACTTGACATTCTTCTGGACCTTTCTTATTGGGCTTCTAGCTTGTGTTGAGCTTCAAGGTGATTTTAGCAAAAGGTGGGCTTTACATTTGTTGACATGTGGTGTATTATAATTGGTGGGGAAATATCCTTCCTCTTTAATTTCTTCATTAAAAGAAGAAATGCAACTTCTTTTAAAGCATTTCATCCCTTACCATTCTATCAACACCACAAAAATATTTTTATTATTATTTAAGAACTTTAATAATTTTATGAATGCAACAGTATAAAACATGTCAACAACTAATAAATTTATTTGTTTTCATATATTATAAACCAAAATAGAAATTACATAGACATTTCCATCTCTAGTTAAAATTAACACAAGTCTAATCTTTGAATTTCAAAAGGCACAAAAAATAATTATATAGGCAAAAACCAATCATAATTGAAAATTCACTTACATGTACTAACTATATCAATTCTTGATATAATAAGTGATATAAATCAAATAATCCAATTATTAAAGATACCAAGAGAAAACAAACTATTAAAAATAATACATTCAAAGAGATCCTTATTTTTTGGCATTTTTTGTTAGCCAATTGACCTTAACTTCTTTTGACTTCTCAGCTATCATCATCCACATCTATCTATGCGATTTAGGCTCACAAAAAACACTCAGAGCAGCAATATATAATGGGCCATCTATTTGAATTATAGCCATATTATCTAAAACTCGACTACACTCTTCAATGTTAGGCCTATCACAATTTTCCATTGTCATGAGAACTGCTTGTAGTTGGTCATCAATATCATCATTCATTGTTTTCTTCTTGATGTTTGGCTTTTGGCAACGGATTTTTCTTTGGAGATGAAGGCATAGTAGGTGAGTCAGACTCTATGTCAATCTGTGTTTTTTTGTGAATCTCCTATGTTTGGCTGTGAAGTTGATGAGTCATCCGGAGGTAATCCAGACCTAAATGGACCCCATACTGCTTTTCTTGTTGCTATAATACCATCAAATAATGCTTTCATCTCATCAGTATATTGTAACATGATATAACGAAATTGTTTTGCATCGGGATTTTCCTGTTACAAAGTCAAAATTTACCCCAATATAAACTACCGTATTGTCCCAATTAAAATATAAAACATTAAATGAAGTTACCTTTATGTAACCATCCCATTTTTCTACGTTCTAGTTCTTGGTCTCAGTCATTGGATCATTCCCATGTCTAGTATTTCCCATCAACTTTATCCACGTATAGTATTTTTTCTTCTTGTAGTCCCATTGGTTTTTCATTTGTCTTTGATTAAGATCCATATTTTTTTTCTAAGCTAATATTTTCTTTATCTTGTCTACGACTCTTTCTTCAGACTTCCACCACATTTCCCTCCTTTATTCGTTTCTTCAAGGCACAAATCTAAGAAAAGTTTATATAATTTTGGATCTTTCCAATTAGCTCTACTAGAATCATTAGTAGCTATACCTGTAAAAATATTTTGATTATTTAAAATAAAATATATTACCCGTTAATGGCGAATGCGAATAATAGTGACATGCTAATGAGAAGTAAGAACAAAAATAAACAATGATTAATGTGATTTACTAATGTAATTAATTGCAGAGACCGACATATATATATATGCACAACAAAATATCCTACTATCTTTAAGTTTTACCTACCAACATTCTTTATGCTCTACAACTAATATTCTAAAATTGTCAACCCTCTCCACAATATTCTAAAATTTCTATCTACAAGCTCTCCAATATTCTAAAATCGCCCGTTCTTCCTTGTAATACCCTAAAATATCTGAATGGACCATCTCTATTTATACTATTATACTAGTTATGTTATTTAATGCAAGCTTATAAAATTAGATAACTTTGGCAAAGCAGGAGTGAAGTTTCAAAGGCAACATCTTCCACACGATGAATTTAGATAAATAAATATGAAAATTTAAAATATATATATGGTATCGAAAAGGGTGTTACGAAGATTAAAGAAAGTAAAATTTAAAATATATGGGTTTTGAATTGAATAATATTTAGTTAGGGTATTGAAAACGGCGTTACAAAAATTAAAGAAAATACTTGAAAATGAATTCTTATTTAGGAATAAAATTATATTATATAAATAATTGATGGAAATTTTAAATATATGGGTTTTGGATTATATAATATTTATATAGGTATAGTGTTACATAAATTAAATAAAGTAAAATTTAAAATATATGTATTTTGGATTATATAATATTTATATAGGGTATTGAACAAGGTATTACAAAAATTAAGGAAAGTAAAAAAGAATTCTTATCTAGGAACATAATTCTATTATATAAATTATAAATGAAAATTTAAAATATACAAATTTTGGATATCAAAAAGAATGTTACAAAAGATTAAATAAAGTAAAATTTAAAATATATAAGTTTTGGATTACATAGTAGGGTATTGAAAAGAGTGTTAAGAAAGTACGTGAAATACAATTCTTCTCTGAGAATAGAATTCTATTATATAAATAATTACATAATATTTATGTAAGGTATAAAAATGGTGTTAAAAATATTAAAGAAAGTACGTGAAATTGAATAGAATTTTGTTATATAAATAATTATTTTCTATAGTGAATCAATATGAATGGTAACCAAAAGGCTATATTCGTGTTTAAAATATATTAGGTAGAATTAAGTTTTTTATTTCTTTGAAATTTGTTCTATGTAATCATTTTCATTAGTAACAACAAGCAACCAAATATATATGAATCAATTTAAATGTAACCAAAAGGCTATCTGTCATGTTTAAAATATTGTAGGTCAAATTGTATTTTTCACGAATCTGTTCTATCATGTAAAAGTAAAAAAAATATATATATAATAATAATAAATTATAACCAACGAAATATATATATAAGAGTTTTTCAAACGAGAGAACTCTCACCTTATTTTCAGACGCAAAGAGAAATCATAGAGAGGAGTTTAAAGAAATTGTAGAGAGACCCTAGACAAATCGCAGAGAGAAACCCTAAAAGAGAGAACGCGATTATATGAGGGTAGAGTAGTCATTAAAAAGTTATTTTTTTAATCCAACCACTTACCGTTTTCTGTGATAAGCGATAAGCAACCTTCCCAATGCTTAAAAATTTGGTCTCTTTTAAGTGGTACTTATCATGTTAAGTAATGTCCTAAAATTTTATCAAACAAACTTATTTTTAAAAATCACTTACCATGTTCTGCATTCAGCGCTAAATTAGGAAATCATACAGGCCCTAAAACTCCATATTTCGAGGAATTCATTCTATTGAGCCCCTATTTTAATCTGTAAGAGTCCTAAGCCTTCTAATAGTCTCTAAGCCCACTGTACTCCAGTCCAAGACATCCAGGGCATATAACCAGCCCTCTTAGCTTCCACGATTAGTCTGTCATCCTCCATTGAAGGCCAATGAATAGGAAAAATGTTGCACTTTTGACAAAGGATCTTCTAAGCTTTGAAGATACATGTTGATCCAAGTAAAGGAAACCTTTAGCTTCTAATATTGCTTAAGAAGACTTAAGGTAGGTGTTGGTCTAATATATCCTACCAGGGGTTTTAAAAGGTATTTTAATGATTACAAACAATTGTAAGTATTATATTTAACATCCACTTGAGTTTAAGTTGAATATATTCATTTCTAAGAAACTCAAAGGATAACTAGTAGATAAATGGAAATTACATGACGATCCAAATGCAAAAGTATAGGTCCTATGATAAGTGCTCAAATGTTGCACATTTTAGCACCTAAATTAAGGTATTTTAGTCCGTTCATCTATCTTACTTTTCCGTTTTAGTTCTAATTTGTGTTTTTGTCCATTTAAGGTCAATAAGGTTCAAAC